AATTAGATAGAATCTTCGGACCGTGTAACAACTTGTTTTTATCCATTAAAAGCTTTCTAACGAATATTTTTAGATCTAAAGGATCTTTCTAAGTAAAGCCCACCTTTACTTTGAATGCGAAGAGATCAGGCGTTACTTTATGGGGATTGTGTGCTATTACTACTATTATTGAAGACTGGAGAAATTTTATTCATTTCATAAAATGAAAGAAGTCTTCTTATTTTAATTTATTTCCAAATTTATTTATTTTTTTCGTAACGTGCTAAAACCATTTATCGTTATATGAAATGTCATTTATTTATGACCAACTTTCAATGAAATGTTGACTTTTATCAATCGGTTCACTTCTGCCATTTATTTTTTTTTTTAAAAAAAAAATGTTGGTTGCTGATCCTTAAAATGCTAAGGATCGAAAACCATATTAATATGGAAATTGTAAAAAATAATAATAACTCTATTTTTTGTAATCTAGATAACCTAGGTAATAATGAATGAAACAGGGTTTTTTTAGCACAAGAGTTTAAGTTTAACACGATTACTATATATGAAAAATTAATTTTAAAAAATAGTTTTATCGCTTTGATATAATAATATATGTAATGTTAATATTAATATTTACACAATTTCGCATGTGGTCCTATCTATATGTGATCACGACTTAATTCCCTAGTAATAGCAATATCCTAAAAAGGCATTAAAGCTATATACTTACAGAAAGAATTGTTACGCGGCATCAAGAGGAAAAATATTTATTATTTATTATATTTATATTAAAATTTAAATAATTTATTTTAAAAATTAACTGTTAATATAAATATAGTCGATAATTTACATACATAATTTATATGATTTACATTATTATTATGAATTATTTAAAAATTACAAAAAGTTAAATGGTTTAATTTTTTTAAAAAATTTTATTATAAAAAAAGTGAATAAAAACATGTTATCTCCAGGAATTTCTTACTTTATTTATCTACATCTTCGTTCTTTTTCTTTTTAGCAAAGAGGTCTCGAATTCCAAGAATTGCGTCCATAAAGAAAAATTTAAAACGTGGGAATAAAACCAAAATCACTCGAGGATGTTCTGAAGAGGAAGAAGTTGAAAACAATATTGGTAACGGTGGAATAAATTTTCGTTGTGTATGTGAGAAACCACGTAAGTTAATCAATCAATCAATCAATCATTCAATCATTCAATCATTCATTCATTCCAATTTTTAATTATTGACCTTTCTTTTTTTTTTTTGAAATGGAAATTTAAGTTTTTAATACTGCAATGATTCAATGCTGGGGATGTAATTGTTGGCAACATTGTGTTTGCGTTGGAATTTACGGTTCATACCCTGGAGAATATTATTGTTCGGAATGTCGAGCCGAAGGATTTTGACTTTAAAATTAATATTTTTTTTGCTTCAATTTATCTCTTTCTAATAGCTAAGATCATTGATCATTGATTGTGATAGTGTGTATATAATAAATAATCTATATTTTTATCTTTTTAAACAATTATGTTACACAAGTATTTTAAAAATACAAAATTTCTAAATAAAATGGCACTTCCACCTCAATATTCTGGTAAACTTGTATTTATTTTAAATTTTAATGAATTTAAATCGATTAAATAGAAATTGATATTATAAATATAAAACAAACAAAGGACATCGATGGGGCCCTGCCAATGCGGTACATGTATTGGAAGCTTATTTAGATTATGTGGTATGCGTGTGAACTTTTTACTTTTCATCCCATAATTAATCGATTAGTGACTTTTATTCACGAATCAATTGATCATTTCTTTTATTACTTCTGCTTTTGTATAGTGTCCATTCTCTGCAAGATTATACAAAAGACTTAGATCAGTAAGTAACTCAATTCCAATCAATCACTCGCTCGATCTTATTTATCGTTCAATCAAATAACTTTTTTATAGGAAGTTTTTCCATATATCAAAGAAAAATATCCAGGAAAAGTGCAATTCATCTTTCGTCAACAAGTTCAACCATGGCATCCATTTTCAACTGTTGTTCATGAAGTAAAAAATTACTTTGAAAAATATGAACAGTTTTTTTTTATAAAGCTTATATAATAATATAATAATAATAAATGATTAGGCAGCTATTGCGGTTGAAAAAATTGACGCGGAAAAATATTTTGAATTTTCGGATAGACTTTTTGATGCTCAAAAAGAGTACGTATCCTGTATTTTATCTATCTTATTATCTTAATATTTCAATTAATATAATCTTTAAAAATAGATTTTATGATGAAATTGTACATCTTGAAAGTCGTCAACAAACAAATTTAAGACTAGCAAAATACG